ATCTCTCTCCCCCTCTCCCTGACTAGGCTTAACACTTCTATTCCACTTTGCAAAAATCCTTGTAAAATGCTTGAAAGATGGGGGCAAACTTTTCACAGTTATGAAAATTGCCTCTATTTTCAGCTACATTGCATTTTCAGGTTGCAAAAGGAATTCACATATCTGTATTATCAGCAAAAGTGTAATGCGTGAAATGGTGAGAACTGGATCTCATTTGTAATAGATGAATGCACCTATCTGTTGTCAAGTATATGGGATTAAAAAATTGCCCCTCAAATCTGCCCCTCAAATTTCCACAGATTTGGGAGTTGCTTAATAGGTGATATTATAATGCAATAAACATTCTCAGAAGATTGTCCAATTTTCCACCTGGCCTCTTGTTTCATAGGACAGACAGTAAATTTCACTTTTCCAGGCATCTTGTGTGTTTTTTCCCTCTCCAGCCCTCAGACTTGTTATTTTTTTATTGGAGTAGAGAGTCATTGGGTGATAGTGTTTTTTTCTTGGAACAAACTGAATTCACTGTCAACTGGATTGCTTTCGCTGATTAATAAAATGTTAATTACAATAAAAATCTAATCATTACATAAAATGCATACAATTCTCAGGTGCCCTGGGCTTTTCCAGCCATGAGAATGTGCAAAGCAGAAAAGGTTCCTGGACCTGAAAAAGCAGTACAAAATGTCTCACGAAAATTAGCTCTCAGAGCTGCTTTGCACAGTGAGGACAACCATGATGCGTGTATGCATGTCATGCACATGGCAGAGAATTAGGAATCTTCTCTGTTGCAGATACATGAAGTCCACACATATCTGGAACCTGAGTTCATGCAGTATGGAATTCATTTTCTATTTCCCCATTATATATTTATGTCACATTGGATCAATGTAAGTGTTTGTCTCTCCTTCATGGATCACTGCCTTGTCATGGAGAAGGGGCTTGCGTAGCTGAATGAAGCTAGGAGCTATGCCGTACAGGGGCACCCAAGATGGACAGGTCATAGCAGAGAGCTCTGACAAAACGTGATCCACTGGAGAAGGAAATGGCAACCCACTCCAGTATCTTT